ACTATGGGTGCACCCCAAGGGCTGGTCGAGGGAGAAATGATGTCCGATTTCAACATGTCATCTACAGCCGATTTGACATGATCCTTTTCGGCGGGACTTAACCGAAAAGGATTTTGGCGGATAGGAGCGTTGTCACCGGTGTCAATATGGTGGCGTAGCAATTTGGTACATCCGATATCGTATTTGTGTTTACTGAAGACGTCGGAAAATTCTCGCAATAAGGCGCGTAATCTAGCACGTTGTGCGTCAGACAGGTCAGGTGACTCAGCACACAACGCATCCAGCCAAACCTCGTCAGCGTCTGAGGCTAATCGCGTTTGAGAATCGGTGGCCACCTGGCCAATGATCGGCGTTTCCGCAGGTACCGGAACCGCATGTGCGAACACGGTACCTTGCGAAACCACTGCCGTCCGTGTCCCGACATTGAGGACCGCGATAAACGGGTCCCCATCCCCTTTAACAATAGTCTGGGCCGTCACCAGATCTGGCCCACTCACCCCGGCTCTAGATGGTCCCAAAATAACGCCCCGGTCAGAGACTCCTTTATCGAACGGTCGACGCAAGCGCAGGGGTACCAACATCTGTGCCCCCGGGGGTACACGCACCGTCCGAGCAACAAGCGCCTGTACCGTAGCACAGGCAACACGCACGGCAGGGGTGGCAGGTAGGAACGTCATACGTCGGCCCGATGGAAGCTCGATGCATTGCTGGTCAATCAGAATTTTGATGGGCAATTTGGCCAAAAAGTCTGTCCCCAACAGGCACGGAATAGCCAGCGAGGAGGAGACGAACACCGGGCCAGATAGTTTAATGTCCCCTATCGAAATTTGCGCTCGAATTTGACCGATAATACCCAACGAGCCCCCATTCGCAGCGTAAAACGGTATATCGACAGGGAGCAACGGGCGACTCTGAACGGGCAGGATATTATAAATCAAATCTGAAATGATAGTTGCCGAAGCTCCCGTATCGACCAATAGCCGTACCTCCACCCCGTCAATATGCCCCGCGACAACGGACGACCCCGCTGATGCAGCCACAACTCGGTGAGCCAACTCGGACCATTGGCCCGGTTGGAGCGCCCTCCCCGACATGCCGCGACCCGACGCACCAGCACCCAACCCCCGAGAATTGTGTATCGGACCATGTGATAGGAAAGTGGGTGTGTGTGCAGGCCGAACATGTGGGGTGCCATGACTTGCCCGAGGATGTTGCGAAGGCTTGTGAGGAGGGCCGTCCGCAGCTCCAGGTCTCGCACCGCGCTGTCGAGGAGCCCGGCATCCGGACGCCACGTGGCCCCGGAGGCCACAATTATAGCAGACGACGAGCGTTCCAGAGGACTTGGGCTGGTCTCGGTGGCTTGGAACGTCCCGAGCCGGTCGCTCGGCAGATCGCCATCCTGCAGAACGATCCGCAGCGAAGGCTCCCTCCATTCCAGAAGAGGTTGCCGCCACGGTGTGTCGTGCAGCAGCTTTGTTCGCCTTCCTCCGCTGGGAGATGAGATTGGCGTGAATGTGCCTTGCAGCCCGCAGTGATGACATATCCGCATCGTCCTGCGCTAAGATGGTGAAGTCCAGATCGTCAGCCAGCAGCAAAATTTTCTCGGCCACCATCGCATCGATCCCCTCTTCATCCATACGCGGGAAAGCGTCTTTCGCCAATGACAGCAGGGCCGTGCGATAAGCGAGTGGCGATTCCTTATCACCCTTCTGCCGTTCATAGAAGAGCTGGCGACAATCGGAGGGCGGCCCATAAACGGTGGCCAGCAGCTGCAGCGCCGACTGAATGGTGGAGCGTGCCGACTTGGGTGCAGCAGTGAGGGTGCCCAGGGCGTCGCCGTCCAATAACGCCGGGAGAGCACACAGCGCCTCGTTGTCCGACCAGCCTGCCATCTCTTGGTGGGCCAAGAACCGGCGCTGGAACCCCCCCCAATCGCCGTCGCTTGCAACAAATACCTGCAGGGCCGGCAGGCGTTGCTGGAATGTCGGCTCCGTCTCCGATCCTCTTGGAGCGTCTCTTGCAGCATCCGTAGCGCGTCCCCGTACTGTATGGTCGGTGCTGGCGTCAGCTGGTGGTGACGTTTCAACCCCTGATAGGCTGCCACCGCGACCCGCCTCCGCCGATGACGTGGCGGCTGCTGGCTGGGCACCGTCTCCCGCGTGACGAGCTGGGACTCCTCCCTCCGCCCCTACTGTCTTCGTGGCGGGATTTTCGAGTCGCCCCGCTGTTGTAAAGGCGGGAGTTTCTGGCGGGCGTTGTCCATCTTCCCGCCGCGTCGCTCCTCCCGGCCCCAGGCGAGTTATTTGTTCCAGCATAGCGGCCGCTGCATACAAGAGCTCCGCCAGCCGCGAGTGAGCCAACCCCAACTCGTCAGTCGACGTCCCGGCCCTCTCCGACGGCCCCGCCGATGTCGGAGCCGGCAGCAGTTGTGCAGGTACGTCGGCGGCGATGTCTTGCACTGCCCCTCCCTCGTCGTCATCCTCTCCTGGGTCTTGGGCACGAGTCTTCCGTCTCGTATCCATGCTTGGCCCACTTCCAACACCAGATGTAGTAAGTTGATGAGGAGACGATGAGGAAGTTGAGACACACTGTTTATTAACTCCGGGACAGATACAATAGTTGAAGGGGTATCGGCCCCTTCACCCGTACTATGGGAAACCCACCCTAGTACTAAGCCCTCTGTCCTGTCCCCCAGTCCTCCTCTACTGGGCTACGGGAGGCTGACTGATCTGGCCCTGGCAAGCACAGATCTCGGCACCAGCTAACCAGCCTTGCCCTGATAAGGGCAGCGGTCTGGAAGCTCTTGGGCCGCGCCACTGGCTTACCCGGCTCGGCCCTTATAAGGACGGCGAGACCGGGGAGTCCCAGGGCCTAATCTCCGAGTCTTGGATCTTCACTGGTCAGCTTCGTGTCGAACTGCCTCGAGCTCTTTGGGTTCCACCTTTTATAGGGATCGCCTCCGAGGGCTGGGGGCGTGGGCAATAACTGATGCGGACGTCGGTGTGACCCCCCGTGTATGTGAGTGCCGACAGCCCTGTGTTTGTTGTCCGCCGTTTCTGCCGTAATAACCCCTACATTTGCATAGACCGCAATACCTGCAGTCATAATACAAACAAAAGAACATAACTCTGATAATGTGCACTGTCCTTGAAGTTGATTGGTCCACACCCGAGACAGCTTTCCTTCGAGCCTAGTCTCATATGGGTTGGACCAGATGACGCCAAAAGGCGCACAACTCAACTAACTCTGTATCAGAGTTATGTTCTTTTGTTTGTATTATGACTGCAGGTATTGCGGTCTATGCAAACATGACTCCTTGCAAAAAGGTGTCAGTTTTGTTGCCAGATAGAAGGGTAAAGAACCAATTATCAATCAAATTGATATTTGTAATTCTCAGCTCTGGATTTCATCCGACATAAATCGCAGAGCAAATTCATTGTGATGGAACTTTTTTTGTTTAGTCATTGGTGACCGAGCCGAGACTATCAACTAGCTACACTTGAGAACCCGGTTTCATGTATGTTGAACTTCTTTCGCGCCGTACGTAGACAACCCCGCTAATCGGAGGTGTGGAGAAAGGACAACAAACTAAACACAAAAAGCAATTTTTAAAGAAATTCGTTTTAAATCTAGATGATTTAAAAGTGCATAGCTCCAGTGGGTACCTAATACACAGGAAGGAAGAGCTTTCCAGACGGCAGAAGCACATCCGAAAGCGCGCAATCACAGGCGGCTGCCTGGATTTGAACCCAGGATGTGTGAGCGGTGCCGGCTCAGAGCTCCGACCTCTGAGCCACCCGGCCACCTCATGCAGAAAACCAATCTCGGTTTCGTCCTCTGTGCCGATTGCAGTCGTCTATACATGTCACAATTCAGCTTCTCAGTTTTTAAGTTCGACGAACGAACAAGAGCAAATGCACAGACACTCTTTCCGTTTGGATGGAAAGAGCCGGAAAAATGCCGAAGTCACTTTGCGGTTTAGACGTTTTGTTGTAGAAGATTTGGGTTCAGATAAAGCCTGTTTAAAGTAGATGATGGGAGGGGGGTCATACAAAAAACTGCTTTTTGTGTTTAGTTTGTTGTCCTTACCCCGCACCTCCGGTTCGACCGTTGGCTATGTACGGTGCGATAGAAGTTGAACATACATACAACACAATCGAAGGTAAACGTATTTTAAACAACGTTGTATGATGCCTACTAAAGGAAAGATATGCGAGCAAATATTACAATGGGTTGAAAATTTGTACCAAAATTTATTGGACTTGAATACTGAAACAGACTTTGAAGGGGGGACCAAGCCTCCATCATCCTCCCCCCTTCACACCCCTGCTTTCCACAACACTACAGGCCAGAGGTCGCAACCGGGTACCCGATACCCGTACCCTACCCGATACCCGGCTACCCGTACCCGGCCGGGTACGGGTACGGGTAGCCGTTTGCGACCCTGGTGCGGCCGGGTACGGGTAGGCCGTGAGTCACTGGTGAGTCACCGTTTGTCACTCATTTCGGGTAGGGTACGTATAGGGAACGGCTACCCGTACCCGGCCGGTATGTACCCATTTGCGACCCTGGTGCGGCCGGGTACGGGTACGACTAAAGAATCAAAACCCGTTTGCGACCTCTGCTACAGGGTTGTTTCAGATCCAGGCATGGTAGCATGAGGAGAGAGGCGGATAGCTGTGTCCCCAACCAATCACGGATGCGGTGTCTCACATCAATGTCGCACAGAATGTGAAGTGCAGAGCCTCCAAATACAATGTACACGCGCAGCACCCTTGTCTATCCACGGTTGGCTACATACGGCGTGAAAGAAGTCCAAAATACACACTGCTGGATGAGGGCCTCCCCACACTGCGTGGGTTATTGATATTATATTCTTAGGTTTTTTTCGGTAAAGTCACGTAGGTATTTTTTTTATTTTATTTTACTTTTTTTAATTTTAATGTTTTTACCTCCGTGACTTTACCGAAAAAACCTAAGAATATGAATCCTTGCAGTCACGAAAGCTTCAAATCTAGAATTATTGATATTATTTGACCAAATGCATTACGGTACGGGTCGGTGAAGGCAGGCAGCATAGACTAGGGGGCATTAAAGTACAGTACTGTACACAACAATAGTTTTTGCTGCACTGCCCTCGTGTGCCCAGCTCGTAGCTGCATGTTCCCATTAGGGCTGAACGATTTGGGGAAAATATTGAATTGCGATTTTTCTGACAGATATTGCGATTTGATTTGCGATTACATTTTTTTAAGTCAAGCTTCAGTTCAATATTCACTGTGTAATAGATTTAAAACATGTGATGGAGCATTACCACATGGTTCCATCAAAATATGAACAGCTCTATATATTTCAATGCAGGGATGAGAACTTAAAAGATATGAATTGCTTCCAACATATATTTATTAAAATGTTTGAATTGAAATAGAACAATCAAACATAGAACAAGTGTTAATTTAAATAAATAAAGTTATAATAATAAAAAATAAAAAATTCCAATAAGAAATTACTTTTCAAATCGCAAAAAATTGCAGCCTTTTCAATTTGCTAATCGCATTGTTTCAAATTGCGATTTCGATTTGAAATCGATTAATCGTTCAGCCCTAGTTCCCAGTGGGTGACCTGGTGTGCATGGTGGTCACCCATTAAAACACTGTCCAGGCTAATTTTTGCTTAGCTTTGTGAGATCTGACGGCATTGGCCACATTTCCCAATGATTTGGGCGGAAACACAGATATGGGCATTTGAAGATTTGCATGTTCTTGTTGAAGCAACGATACACAGGGGACTTTCAACAGTTTACGGGTTAGCCAAATTATGCAACATTCTCTACATTGGGGTCACTTTCAAGTCTTGTTGATCCGCCCTAACTGGACATCTGTGAAACAGAGCTAATTTGATTCCTACAGTCTAAATACATATTCTGATTCTGAAGTCATGTACTTGTGTACACGTGCAGCCCTCTTGTCAATCCATTGCTGTATGAAGGCCTCCCCATGCCGTGCTGGTCATGGGGGTTAATATACCAGGCTGTTCAGTGTGTGTGTTCGTGAAGGCAGGGCACATAGAAGTAGGGTACAACAACTGATTTTGCTGCACTTCCCTCTGCTAACAACGTCGCCCCACAGCAGCAGACAACACCAGTTTTTATGCACGGTGGTCACCCATCCATGCACTTTTCAACCTCAATCCTGTTCAGTTTTGGAGATCTGGCGAGGTTGGGCGCATTACGAGCGATTTGGTCAATGACCTCCGATTATCACGGTTGGCTACGTACAGTGCGAAAGAAGTTCAACTTACATACATACATACAAAGGCACTAAGTCTTACTTTCATAAAACTGATGAACAGCCTCACTGCTTGTGAGATTCAAAAACGACAGCTATATACTGATATGTGAGCAAATGCCAATCTAAGGTCCACGATACAATACATTTGGCCAACTCGTGCTTGGCTTCTTGTGGCAGCAAATTGGAGAAACCGGAGAAAACCCACAAACTTTAACTGTGATCTCCCAGCCTCCTCGCAGCTAACACCCTACATTACAATTCGCGGTACGTCTGACAATTTGTCCCGGCCTATCCGTATATTTTTCCTACTTGCGCCCAAAAAAAAGAGGCTTATCGTCGGCCGCCGTTCGCATCACAGCGACACTTCCATCGCAGCAAGTGGTCGCGATTCCGGCCCCAAGTCTTGGCCGCGCACAGAACCGTCCGCGACGCTGGTGCCATCTTTGGCCGCCTTGTTCTGCCGCCGGCTGCCACGGTAGTAGCGGCGGTAGAGCAGGATGCCGGCCATCGCGCACGCCGCCAGTGACACTGTGCCCAGCAGCAGCCACAAAAGCGGGCCAGTCGCAGGACCCTTCGACAGAGCACCCGGCGATGGTTGAGCATTGGCGAGCAGAGCCATCTCGTTCGACGTCATCATCATCGTCGTCGTCGTCATCGCCATCGTCGTCGTCGTTGTCGACTCCAAACTGGTGACCACGACAGCTGGATTTTCCGAGCACGACTTCCCGTCCGGCCCCAGCTCGTAACCGGACTTGCACTCGCACGCGTAGCTACCTTCCAAGTTGACGCAAGCGTGCGCGCATCCGCCCCGACTCCTGTCCGAGCATTCGTCCACGTCGATGCAGTTGAGGCCATTGGCGTGCTGCTTGTACCCGGCGGGGCAGCTGCACTCGTAGGAGCCGCTCCTGTTGATGCATTCCCACTGGTTGCACAAGTGGTCCTCCTGGCACTCATCCACATCCTCGCACGCCGTGTCATTCACCTTGGAATAGCCTGGAAAGCAGTCGCACGTGAAGGAGCCCTCCGCGTTGTCGCACAGCCCATTCTCGCACACATGAAAGTCATCGCACTCGTCCACGTCCTCACAATCGTTGGAGACAGCATTGAATGCGTAGCCCGGCTGGCAAGCATTTGCGTCCCTTCTGAGTCGCTCTCCCTCTCGCCCAGCTCCCTCTACCCATCCCCCCTCTCCTTGTTCTCCCTCCCACTCTCCACGGCCGCCGGCCCTCCGCCGCTCTCCGCCGTTTCCCTCCTGTGCCCAGCGGCACGCGACGCCCCGCACACCCGTTGCGTCGGCGCAGTAGCGCGGCCTCCACTCCACGACGGCCGCCCGCGCTTCCCCCTTGCCCGCGCGTGACAAGGTGGCGCAGTGTGCGAGTGAGCAGCTCAGCGCTGGTTCATTCTGCTGCCACGCTGCATAGGTTCCATCACCGGCGCCGGCACCCCCCTCAGCTCCTTCTCCCATGGTCCAGACGAATCCCCGCAGTGGCCCCCCCACACCAGGGAGCTCCTCACATGCCCGCCGGTCCCTCCGCAGGCCCAGCCACAGCTCGGTGGGGGAGTCTGGAGCGACCGTGTCGAGCAGGGACCTGAGCTGCCGTGCTTCGGCGGGGCTGCGCACCGTCGCCAAGTATCCCCGTCCACGAGTCATCCTGTGGCAATGGCCCCAAGCCTCCCGTAGGGTCAGCGGACGCGCGGAGAGGTGCACGGAGTAGCATCGGTGGTCCTCGCACGAGTGGCCGTCGCGAAGCAGCAGCGCTGGAGGAAGATGCGCTAGTGTTGCCAGCAGGAGGAATGCGGCGACAGGCATGATTTTAGTTGTATATTTTTAGTGCTTTCCTTCTCACTGGTTTGTTGCGTTGTTTTATTCAGTGGATCTGATGGCGAGTGGCATCATCGGATGTGTGACACGGCTCAGATGTAATCCTGTAAAAAAAGCAATGCACAATGGGTGTCACGCAATCAATCCGATACACTTTAGGATAAGGATTTGGATTTTTAGGACACTTAAATACCTCAGAAACGTCCAGCGCCATCTCATCCCAACCAAGCAAATGTCCTGCTGAAGCCTAGCTAAGCAGACCACCAGGGGCAGCTGTCCTTGTGTGTCACAAGGTGTATACAGCAACTGGCCTATATCAGTGGGTACCAGTCTCCCAGGCTTGGGGTGGCGATGCTGCCAAGTGGTTTTTCCAAATTATTTTTTTTTCGAGAAATGTATAAAATCTGGACTGTGATGCAATTACACGTGGCTTAATCTCTTTCCACGTAACGTCACGGGGATGTTTAACGTGAAGCGTATGGTGCACGCTTATGGCTAATATACCGGCAGTATTAATCAGGGCGCCCGCTGGGTTTAACACTCCGAACCTCTGTAAGAAGCGGAGAACGTGCGACTGCTCCACCACGAAGCGCTTCTTACCCGGCGCCTTTCTACGTCGCCTGGGACACACACACGTACAAGTTCACAGGGGCAAGCTGCCAATAGGGGGTCCCCCTAGGGTGAAGAAAAGAGGACTCTGCTCTCCGATCCTGTGAGACGTTCCGTCACGCGAGGGGCCCAAAAGTAAACTCGAGTGTTTATTACAAGGTCTCAATTTTAATTTAAATCATATGATACGTCGGAAGTTTTTTTTTCAATCATCAGGTGCGTGCGGCGTGTAACCGCTCAATTTGCATTTTCACGGAGGTAAATTGGTAAACTTGGTGAGAGGTATGGCTGTGGGTCGGTGACGACTGGCGCCTGAGAAACCCTGTTTGAGAGAAGGGTTAAAAATTAACCATTAAAAACAAAGTTTTTCACTATAAATCCTTTATATGTGTGGCGGCTAGAGTCCTCTCATCCTCTGGCTTGAGATGGCTGCCACCTATGGGTCAGATGATTGCCTGCCACCATTAAGCAATTGGTAATTAAATATAATTTATTTTTTTCTAAAAAGTGTAACGTTTTTGAAAAAAAAATTCACAAAAATAAATTGTCACGCACAACGAGTCTGTGTGCAAAATGTCAGCTCGATTGGATCACGGGAAGTGGGTTAAAAAACGACCGAAAGATTTGCACGGTCGTAAGCGCGCAAGCAAGCAAGCAAGTGAACTTAATATAAAGGATTTAAAAAGAGCGGTGGCCACTAGTGTTCGACAACAAGACAGACGCCACCAAGCACTGGAATAGGGGTCACGCAGGGGTTAAGTTGGGCCAAGTGGGAGATGCAACGTGGACCAGACAGCCTCAGCGGGGATGGGCGTAGGGGTTGCACAGGGGATGAGTCAGAGAGGGTTTGACTAATTTGTTCGATGACTTCGTAATCGCAGGTAACAGCCGGGAGCCACGCGCACCATGTGGGTCGGGTAAAGGGCGGTGGTGGTTTTCGCACTGTACATACAGCTACCCCTGAATACTACTCTCGTTATGGCGAACAACTCAATTGTGCGTGGGGTGGAGCGATGGTGGCGCAGTGGTTAGTGCACAGCACGGATCAAGTCGTCGATCCGAGTTTGATTCCGACTCTCGGCTTCAAGTCGGTGAGAGTGACGTCCGAAAGGGTTCTGCGCCCCCCCCCCTATTTCCACCGACCTGCACTGACCAGCGCGAGGAAGTATGACCAAGCAACCTCCATGAACAACCCGGTTTGGGAAGCCCTACATCCAGCAGCGGATTGACAGTGGAGCTGTATCTTCTTGGTTTTTTCGGTAAAGTCACGTTACCGAAAGAACCAAGAAGATGAATCCCTGCAGTCACGAAAGCTTTAAATCAAAAGTGGAGCTGTATATTTGTGCATTCAAGTATTCGTTAGAGAGAAGCTGATTTGTTTGGAATGACCGTAAACTTTATTTCTAGTTCTCTCACTTCTGCTCTCATGCACCCTCATGCACTTCACCTCTGCATTCAAAAAACAGCTCCAAAGAATCTCTCTCCTCTCTCTCTCTACCAAACACTGTACCTGATTCCACAGCACCCATGTGGTTTCATAGCACAATGGAAACTGCAGCAGCAGCATTAGAGAGAGAGGGGGGTGGACAAAATCATTTGTCCCAAGTCGACAACTCACGGGGGAACCGGCAAGAAAACATTGTGGCTGTAGTCATTAGCAGCAGTGACAGGGAGGGGGGCAATGTGCTGTGGTGGTGGGGAGATGCAGCCGATCGTAGAACAAAGGGGCACTGCAAAGGGGTAAATGCGCTCTCGACTGCTCCACACAGAGCTGTGTTATGCATGGGCAGCTGTTTCCAACTTGTTCATAATAATCAGAATGATATACAGCCGCTGTGTGGATCCGCTGACTAATGAAGGCCTCCTAAAGACCATACTTCATCACGTTGATGAGGTTAGTGAAGGGGCGGTTTGTTGAACCACGTCCGGCTCAGACATAACTTGCCACTGATGTCATCTCTGGCCTGGATTCACACTCAGGTCATGAGGAACTGAAGCACAACGCACTAATCACGCACAGTATACCTGGGGCAAAATCACTCACACGTTCATTGGCTTATACAATACTGACGCAATCATTTAAACTTGTAGCACACACAGTATTCACTCACTCTCATAGAGAGAGAACGACTCAGAGGCACGAGGAACCACAAAAAAGCAGAAAGGGAGCAACTTTCGATTTAAAACTTTCGTGACTGCGGGGATTCATCTTCTTGGTTCTTTCGGTAAAGTCACGTAGAAGGGAAATAATAAAATAATAAAAATAAAACATAATAAAATAATTCGCACTAAAAATAAAACGTAATAAAATAATTCTCAACTTGATTACCCAGTGCCAAACAATTGCTTCAGCTCTATCCAAGGTATTATCGGTCAGCTAATGAATGAGCGTTTCCATGCAGAAGGAACCAGGAGCACAAGCATAGCTACATTCCAGTGACACGAGCTAACGTTTTCAAACGGAGAAGTCCACTGCAATCGTTGATGATCTGAGGGGCAGGCAGGGAGATGTGCGATGGCGTGTCCACCAATTCCTCAATGAAAAGGCTCACGATCGGGTACCGGCTCCAGCTCCTGTTGGATGGAGGTGTGAGTTGGAGTTGGGGTAGGAGACTTGTTGTGTGTGGGTGCCACCATAACAGTGACGCGCCGGCCCACAGGGACCATTCAGAATCAGAATATGTATTTATCCTGGAGGGATCGGATGAGCTATAAAGTTATTTTTCACAGATGTCGTCCAGTAGGGGCAGGTCAGAAAGTTACAACAACAAAAACGCGATAGGAGTGTATGGGTAAGGATACATGGGTAAGGATCAAAGTAATACATCACATTTGCAAAAGTGTCTGTATCTAGCAGTGCTTCAAAGTATGTTTTGAAGGGAGGAAGCAAGGTTGTTCCAAAGCGTTGGTGCTGCAGCAGCAGCAGCAAAGATTTGTCACCTAATCCAATGATTGTTCTTGGGATAGTGAAGAGGCACTTACATGGACGCCTTAGGTTTCTTAGATTTGAAAATTGGTTTCATAAACGAGCTAAGTACATGGCAGATTTGCCAAATCAGGATTTAATGAATGAACAGGGCCCAATGTAGAGAAGGGCCCTACCCCCAGCACCCTCCTAGCGCAGGCGCTGCTCTCGATAGGTGTGTAGTGTAATAGCGTCGGCTGGTGGACAACAGCGGAAACTGTGGTGGACAGACACAGCACACACGCCAGTGAGGGCGTGCACGGTGTGTGGGTAGAGGGGGGAACTAGGGTAAGGGTCACAGAGGACCCCATCTGGAGGCCCCTGGAATCTGCTAGCGGGTTTGAGAAGGGAGGCGCGGTCAGGGCAGAGCCAGGCAAACTAATTTCTTTAGAACTACTTTTTGAGTTTAGTTTGTTGTCCTTTCCCCGCACCTCCAATTTGCACATTTGGCTACATACAGTGTGAAAGAAGTTCAACATGTTATTATATTTCCCATGCTATTGTCTCAGGGGTTTTGTTTGTACCTCATAGGGGCGTAAACCCAATGTGACTCACAAATCTCAATTGTCAAAGTGTCACAATGGTTGTTCAGAAGCGGAAGCCTCTCTCCTCATACAGGAACCTCGGTTCAGGGTTCATATTAATTCTAAATGATTAATTATCCACAACAGGCCCTGAGGCGCGAGGCTGTGGCAAGCCATGGTGGCTATACCGAACTGATGATTCCTAATGAGGACATTTCCGACACCTCGTTTGCAGTTTTGATTGTGCCATGCCTAGACGTAAAATGGCGCCATGGTGGTGAGATGTTAACTACCTCGCCTGGTATGGAGGAGGTCGTGGGTTCGATCCCGACCCTGACGCCTGCTGTATATTTGGAGCTTGCATATTCTTCCCGTGGTCGCGTGGATTTTTCTTCGGATCCTCCGGTTTTCCCTGCATATTTAGACACGTGCGTTTAAGAGTATTTGGCTGCTAAACATTTCCACATAAGTCGTTTCGTTGAGCTATCATTTGCGGCCAGGTAACTTTTGAAAAAGAGCTATAGAGCTCAGGGGGCCTTACCTTGTAACAATAAAAAATAGCTTTAGTTTCGTTAATACAGTCGTCTTATTGTCGTACGGCACCCGTAAATAATATGGCCACTATTTTTTATTCCGGTGTTCTAATCGAGGAGCGTATGCGTTATGCAAGCAGCGCGTTGATGTTACGTGACCTATGGTCACAATTGCACCTTCTCCTGCCTAGGCTCGAGAGGTAACCTCTTGTGTGTATTGTTACTCATAACATACGTAGGCTGACGGGTGTATTTATGAAGGCAAATAGGTGGAATGGTTTCAACTTTCTGGGTTCTTATCAGCAGCTAGACCTTATAAGCAAATGCTGGGCCGCTGTCAGATGCTATCAATAAGCAGGAATCCATGCAAGTTCAACTTTTGGAGACCGTAAATAAAAAAGAACACTGCAGAAAAACTCATGTGCTGACGGACACTGTGGTGGGTAGTAAGAAATGTTGATTTTAAGTGGACTTAGAAAAGATTTTAGTTTATTGGCCTATTGGGTTTTCGACCAATATTTGTTCAAACAAGGCAAACTCTTGACTGGTTTTAACTTTCTGGGTCTCTTCAGAAGTGTCACACCTATGCATATATATATATTTTAAAGACATTCCTAAGTGTCGAAAGTTTAAAAATTACTTCTGGAACAATCGCACTGACTTTTTACACGGCTTTACATTCCTGGTGAAGTATCCTTCTTAGACAGGCAGTCTGGTTACTAATGTACTTCATGCAGCAGCAAAAAACGATATGCAATATATCACTCAACACAACCACTTATACAGGGAGGGGTGTGGATCATACGATGCGATGGAGGACCTAGAGGAAATGAATCTGTATAACACCATTGGAACCTCATTTGCCAGTAAAAAATATGATAATTGTTTTTTTACCCTTCTATCTGGCAACAAAACTGACACCTTTTTTACAAGGAGTCATGTTTGCATAGACCACAATGCCTGCAGTCACAATGCAAACAAAGAACATAACTCTGATAATGTATGCACTGTCCTTGAAGTTGATTGGTCCACACCCGAGACAGCTTTCCTTAGAGCCTAGTCTCACATGGGTTGGACCAGATGACGCCAAAAGGCGAATCTGTATAACTTCACGGCCGAAAGCGGGTGACTCGTTTAAACCAAATCGCATACAACACCACAGTGGCTCGCGTATGGCAAAATCACCCTCACATGCACACGGGCTGTGCCCGCCTCCGATTAGCACGGTTGGCTACGTACGGTGTGAAAGAAGTTCAACATACAGTGTGTAAAGAGGTGTACAGGCTGCAGTATTGACTGCAGAGAGAACATCACCCACGTTGGCCACTGCCCCGCATCCCAATCGTACAGCCCTGGCTGACGAGAAGAGAAACGGTCTTAAATAAGCGTCCATATGTGACATAATCGATTAATTGATCGCACATAAACGCCGCAATCGATTAATCAATCGATTAGTCGTCTCCCGAAAACGGGACCCCCCCACCCAACCTCTGCCCCCAACAAACCACGCTCAGCTTGACTCGGATGATGATGCTCATGGAGTGATCAAAGTCTCTTCCATCACCTCCCGTCCAACGGCACACACGTGACAATCGGTGAGATTTTTTTTTTACCCCCCAACTATTTTTGTGTTATCCTATTAGTCGAGTAATAAAACCGATCACCTCCGGACTAATCGATGACTTCATCGAATAGTGCAGTCTACCACACGTGGATCATCAGTCTGCTGGTGAAGAAGTTGTTGATGTTGCGTTGTTGCCCTTAGTGACCCGGCCTTTAACAACCAAAGACAAACATCCGAGGCTGATGGGGAATGCGCCGTGGAGGCTAACAAATCGATTAAGACCCACACGGCTTAGCGAGTTGGTGGGGTGGCCGCTAACACCACGCCCGGCCGCCTTTGTCTCCCAACTGGCGATGTTTACACATCGCACCAGGTACTCATTTGAGGCTGAGTCGACCTAGGGGAGGCCCAGGACCGGTTTAGATAATTATCGTCAGCGGTGTTGGCCTTGAACGGGAATCTGACTCGGGTTGCCGGGTTAACCGTGACACTGCCGCTCCCCCTACTCACACAACTCACACTCATTCATTCACTCACTCATTCACTCATTCACTCACACTCACTCATTCACTCACACAACTCACACTCACTCACACAACTCACACTCACTCACTCATTCACTCACACTCATTCACTCACACTCACTCACACAACTCACACTCACTCACACAACTCACTCATTCACTCACACAACTCACACTCACACAACTCACACAACTCACACTCACACATTCACTCACACTGACTCATTCACTCACACTCACACATATCACACAACTCACACTCACTCACACAACTCACACTCACTCACACAACTCACTCACACATCTCACACTCACTCACACAACTCACACTCACTCACACAACTCACTCATTCACTCACCCTCACTCACACAACTCACACTCACTCACACAACTCACACTCACTCACACAACTCACACTCACTCATTCACTCACACTCACACATTCACTCACACTCACACATATCACACAACTCACACTCACTCACACAACTCACACTCACTCACTCATTCACTCACACTCACTCACACAACTCACTCACACATCTCACACTCACTCACACAACTCACTCATTCACTCACACTCACTCACACAACTCACACTCACTCACAACTCACTCACACATCTCACACTCACTCACACAACTCACACTCACTCACACAACTCACTCATTCACTCACACTCACTCACACAACTCACACTCACTCACACAACTCACTCACACAACTCACACTCACTCACTCATTCACTCATTCACTCACACTCACATCTCACACAACTCACACTCACATTCACTCATTCACTCACTCACAACTCACACTCATTCACTCACACAACTCACACATTCACTCACACAACTCACATTCATTCACTTACACAACTCACATTCATTCACTCACACAACTCACACTCACACATTCACTCATTCACTTACACAACTCACACACAACTCACACATTCACTCACACAATTCACACTCATTCACTCACACAACTCACACTCATTCACTTACACAACTCACACACAACTCACACATTCACTCATTCACTTACACAACTCACACACAACTCACACATTCACACATTCACGCACACAACTCACACATTCACTCACACAACTCACTCACGTAACTCACAACTCACAGTCATTCACTCACACAACTCACACGCACCCATTCACTTACACAACTCACTCATTCACTCACACTCATTCACTCACACAACTCACACATTCACTTACACAACTCACTCACAACTCACACTCATTCACTCACACAACTCACACTCATTCACTCACACAACTCACACATTCACTTACACAACTCACTCACAACTCGCACTCATTCACTCACACAACTCGCACTCATTCACTCACACTCATACAACTCACTCACACAACTCACACATTCACTTACACAAATCACACACAACTCACACATTCACTCACACATTCACACATTCACTCACACAACTCACACATTCACTTACACAACTCACTCACACAACTCACACTCATTCACTCACACAACTCACACATTCACTTACACAACTCACTCACAACTCTCACTCATTCACTCACACAACTCACACGCACCCATTCACTTACACAACTCACTCACAACTCACACTCATTCACTTACACAACTCACACAATTCACTCACACAACTCACTCACACAACTCACACAACTCACTCACACAACTCACTCACACAACTCACACAACTCACTCACACAACTCACTCACACAACTCACACACAACTCACACCCATTCACTCGCGCGGGTCCCACCACTCACTGCGCAGGGTGTTGTTGTTCCCGACTGGTATGCGCTCCTTCTCCTGCCGATCTCCTTCCCGTCTTCCACTGCACGGTGCTGTTGTTCGCCCTCTGTTACCCCCCCACCACCACCACCACCTCTGTCTCCGCGTCTCCACCTCCTCGTGTCGTCTCCGTGTCCTGTCCGCCTGTCGTCCGCGTCGTCTCCGTGTCCCGTCCGCCTGTCGTCCGCGTCGTCTCCGTGTCCCGTCCGCCTGTCGTCCGCTGCTACTTGAATCGCGGAGCGGCTTTGGGGAGGAGCCGAGTGAATGTGACGTCACAGCTCGCGTGTGTCGGTGTGTGTGTAGGTGTGTGTGTGTTAGTGTGTGTGTGTTAGTGTGTGTTGGTGTGTGTGTATTAGTGTGTGTGTTGGTGTGTGTGTGTAGGTCGGTGTGTGTGTGTTAGTGTGTGTGTGTCGGTGTGTTAGGGTGTGTTGGTGTGTGTGTGTTAGTGTGTGTGTTAGTGTGTGTGTGTTAGTGTGTGTGTGTTAGGGTGTGTGTGTCGGTGTGTTAGTGTGTGTGTGTCGGTGTGTGTGTGTTAGTGTGTGTGTGTCGGTGTGTGTGTTAGTGTGTGTGTGTCGGGGTGTGTGTGTTAGTCTGTGTGTGTGTCGGTGTGTGTGTTAGGGTGTGTGTGTTAGTGTGTGTGTGTCGGTGTGTGTGTTAGTGTGTGTGTGTTAGTGTGTGTGTGTCGGTGTGTGTGTTAGGGTGTGTGTGTTAGTGTGTGTGTTGGTGTGTGTGTGTTAGTGTGTGTGTGTCGGTGTGTGTTAGTTTGTGTCGGTGTGTGTGTTAGTGTGTGTATGTCGGTGTGTGTGTGTGTTAGCGTGTGTGTGTTAGTGTGTGTATGTCGGTGTGTGTGTGTTAGTGTGTGTGTCGGTGTGTGTGTGTATGTCGGTGTTGTGGGGAGCGGTGGTGTAGCGGTTAGCGCGCTGCACTACGAACTTGGCGACCCGGGTTCGATTCCCGCTCACGGCAAACACCAGTGACGATTATCTGAACCGGTCATTGGCCTCCCCTAGGTCGACTCAGCCTCAAATGAGTACGTGGTTGCGGTGTTTAAACATCGCCACTGGGAAGACAAAGGCGGCCGGGCGTGGTGTTGGCAACCCACACCCTCGTGTGCCGTGCCAGCCTTCATAGGTGCTCGCTCACAGCACTTGCCCCAAAAGTTTGTTAAGGCTACCCTGGGGATCTTTGCCTTGTGTGTTGTGTCAGCGTGTTTGTTGTTGAACTGATTGGAGTTGCGGTGTCAACATCGGCCCTCTGTGGAGTCTGGTGAAGGACGCTGCTTGATGGTAACCTCTTTAACCAAAACCCAACTTTGGAAAGCACCATCTAATAAAAACAAACTATGACAGGCATGTCCCTCTGGTTGTCAGCAACGTATCAGTTGCCTTGTCGAGCCAGGGAAGTGATGCTACCACCAGCGCCTACTGACCCTGACTGCCAGCCAGCTTTTGACACTTCACGAGGTTTCAAAGTGCACTTAGCCTGGCACAAGTGCTACGATGACATCGCCACCAATTAGTGGGCAATGTCGGGTTTACTGTTGTAGTTGCGTGTGCACGTGCCAGCTTGTGTTGACAGTTGTCTATGAATGTGTGCGTATGGGGCCGTCCATAAATGACGTCACACGATTTTGGACAATTTTTGACCCCCTCCCCCCATTGTCACACGGCGTCACAAAAAGTCAGACCCCCCCCCCTCAAATATGACGTCACAAAGCTCTGCCCCCCCAAAAAAAACAAAACATGCTTCAAAGCGCTTTAAACTATTGTCATTGTAGTGCGTATTTAATGTGGCGTTGCACTCTGATGTTGTAGGAGAAGACATTTTATAAAAAGTCTATTTAATTAAGTAGAACGTGTTGTGTATATTTGTTTAAAGTTGCGCATTTTGATGTGACGTCACATATATCACCCCCCCCCCCTCGTCACACATCGTCACAAATGTCTGACCCCCCCCCCCCGCCCTAGGTGCTTGACGTCATTTATGGACGGCCCCTGTGTGTATGAAGCGTTCATTCTAGATTTGAAGTTTTGGTGACTGCAATAATCCATACTCTTTGGTTCTTTTGGTAAAGTCACGTAGGTGAAAAATTAAAAAATAAAATATTTTTCCCACTTAAATAAATAAAATTAAACGCATTTTTTTTTCACCTATGTGACTTTACCGAAAGAACCAAAGAGTATGAAGCGTTCGTTTGCTGTCCAATGTTTGCGTGTCAGCTTCTTACTGCCGTCTTGTCAGACAGGCAAAACGGTGCCTTGTGTTAGTGTTTCCTTGTGTCAGCAATAACTGCCTTGATGCACCACGCAATTTGTTTGTCATACGTCTGCGTTGGTTCATGTTCGCGACTCTCACGTCTTCTTGCGTTCGGCTGATGATGTCGATGCAGAGCGACAACTTTCAATTTCACTGTGTAAGCAGCAACGACGTTTCGGCCACAACACAAGCAGCCGTCCTCAGGTGAAGAACACATAAGGACGACTGTTCTTCACCTGAGGACGGCTGCTTGTGTTGTTGCCGAAACGTCGTGAGAATTTTATTATGTTTATTTGTATTATTTCCCTTCTACGTGACTTTACCGAAAGATCCAAGAATATGAATCCCTGCAGTCACGAAAGCTTTAAATCGAGATGTACGGTCTGTTCTGGATGACCACAGTCGCACATTGGAGAGTTTTTTTTTAAAGTTTCCATTTGTGCATCAGGTATTGTACGGATGCGGTTTGGGGTGGACCATGAGCTTCGTGTAAGATCAAAACCAGGGATCTTCTGCGTTGAAGGTTAAGCGCATGGCTCCAAAAGAGCTTGCGTGACTTCAAGCGACTCTCACTGCAAAAGCAGTGCATCACCTTGTGCCAGAGGTCAGCCCAGCAAGCTTTATGCCCTTATACTCTGTGCAAACCAAAGACGCTCCCAGGATGTGCAGCGAAACGTTGGAACATCGTGCCGAACAACCCGAAAACACATCGGAGGACTGTCCTTTTCACATAATTTAGCCAACAAGCTTGCCTAGATGTCTGTACTGTATGTTGGACTTATTATGCTCACCACTAAGTTCAATTACTTTACCGCATTGCTACGTGCACATTTAGGGCTGTACAAAGTTCACGATTCGATCTGGTGTACCTTTTTTCTTCGAATCTCAGAATGAGCAATCGTTGCGAATAAGGCGCTTATCAAATACGGAATGTGCTGTGGCTTGTGGGCTGTGCTGGATTTATCACAGCAGGAATACCCCAGCACCCCGTGATAATGATTATTAGGAACGTCTGGGACACGCAGGGAGGAAGTTGATTGCAATGCTGTACTGAAAGTAGTAAAGTGGCAGCTATAAGTCCTCAATATGATTTACTCGAACATTACACTAAGCTCAATCTTTCGTGACTGCAGGAATCCATACTCTTTGGTTCTTTCGGTAAGTCACATAGGTATAATTTAATTTAAATAAATTCATTACATTACATAAGCTGCATTATATCAGCTGCATTGCAGCTCAACCGGAAGGTTGTGAGCATAAATCCTGATTGGGGGTTGACTCGGCTCATCATCTCGCTGGAGTCGATAAAATAGTAGCACTTTGTGGGGAAGTCAACAGTTGTTTCCTATGGAGACTCACTCCCACTACATAATTAATTCTATCATCCACAAATATTCACATATTTCTCCCCGTGGATAAGTGGAGCAAAGTCGTGGATAATCCCACGGATAACAGAATCTGCAATATTGGTGTTCCGCATCACCACGGATAAGAGGTAGTTCTCCTGCAACGATGCATTCACCGCTATAAAAGCTGCTGGCAGATTAAAAAAATTAACCCGTAAATACAAAGTTTTTCACTATAAATCCTTTATATGCGTGGCATCGGTTTTATTTTACTATTCATTTATGTTTTTTTCTTGAGTAAGAGTTTCATTTTTTATCACATTGGTATTTTAAATTAAATATAATTTTTTGTTTTCCTAAAAAGTGGAAAATTTTTGGAAAAATTTTTCACGAAAAGAAATTGTCACGCACAACGAGTCTGTGTGCAAAATGTCAGCTCGATTGGATCACGGGAAGTGTGTTAAAAAACGACCGAAAGATTTGCACGGTCGTAAGCGCGCAAGCAAGCAAGCAAGTGAACTTAATATAAAGGATTTAAAAAGAGGGTGCCGATGCCAAGATCCCCGTAGCAACTCTCATTCGTTAAACCCAAATCATGTAGGTGAATGCACAATCTATTATAAACAACATTCCTGATGTGTATCTACGATGATGTTAAGTGCAAGAGCTGTAACTTGGCCGACCTCTCTCATGGAGGCATGCGATGCATAGAAGCCCCCGCAAACCATTAGTCTGTGCAAGCAGAGGATGTAAGGGGAGCAGAGTAGGAAGGAAAGTGGCTGTGTGCTCGTGGGGGGGGGGGGCATGATAAGAATCGTGGAGCCAAAGCGTAGCACGGTTAAGAACTCGTGGTCACTTGGGTAGCTCAGAGTGCCACCCACTGATAAGTTGCGTTTACGTTTCGATTTAAAGCTTTCGTGATTGCAGGGATTCATCTTCTTGGTTCTTGCGGTAAAGTCACGTAGAATGGAAATAATAAAATAATAAAAATAAAACAATAAAATTATAAAGTAAAAGAATATAATAATGTAAAATAATAAAGTAATATAATAAAATATAATAAGAAAATTATGTTTTATTTGTATTATTTCATTTCCATTCTACGTGACTTTACCGAAAGAACCAAGAAGTTGCGTTTACGTTTTTGATTTTCTTAGAGCGAATTCCGCATGATGTCCGAAGTTTTGCTCCCCGTGGCAGGAGCTTCTTCAGGAACTGAATCTCGGGAGCACGTGTAGCGAAGCGTTATACATTATGTAAATAAAGTTGGAGTTTGCACTTTATTTGGATGACCGTGGAGAGAAGTAAGCATTCGTAGGCAGAGCAGGAAACCGAGTTGCAGTTGTGGGAAAATGCTGATTACAGACGCACCAAAGTTACGTGGTCTTTTTTCGCTGTCGTTGTGAGAAATCATCTTTAATTCACCCAATCTCGCCAGATCTCGGAAGATAAGCAGAGTTGTATGTATGTTGAACTTCTTCCACGCCGTCCGTAGCCAACCGTGCTAATTGGAGATACGACTTGATAAACATTTGGATGGGATACTGCTTAGTGAATGCCAGGTGTTGTAGGCCTGGGCTGTGAGGAGCTGGCAGTACAGCACTGGACATCTGTGAAAGAAAGCTTAAAAGCTCATC